TTGAAGCAACTGCCATGTGATTGGTTGATTAGATAATTGCATTAATGAGAAATTGAACAGGTGTTCCTAATAATCCTTTAGGTGAGTGTATGTGGCCATAAATATGACCTCCGGTATCAGGTACTGTAAGTGTCATGATATGTCTCTGTCATGTTCCAGTTCGGCCAGCAGAGGTCTCTGTTGGCCGTCATATTAGCTTCTTCCTTCGCTCTCAAAATTACCCGCACCTGTGTTATATCCTCTGCGATTCGTAATGTGTGCTACTCGCTAAACCTGCTTCTCGTCGTTAATGAGTGTACAGTATATCTATGTGCCTCCCCTGTATATGTTCCCCAATCCTATTTCCAAATCGAACTCCCAGGAGGTTCCTACTGTATAACGACATTCCCACTGTTGTAGTCTCTTTAATAGTCACCTTCAGGGGTTTTTAGGCTTGCCAACTTTGGTCAGCTGGCTGGCATGAGATTTTCAATTCGAGACAAGTCTGCACTCGCATTTACATGTAGGTAGCAGCTTTATTATCTTGTAAATAGCTAGTCTGCAGGGTTTACAAACTGTCCAAATTCTTCAGATGTAGCTAATTTTAGGTTTATGATGGAATAATAGAGATTTGTCTCAAGATTGGAGCTGGCAACCCTGAGATTAACAGGGGTGCGTTGTGCATATTAGGACATTCTCAGACATCAGTGTAAGTTCTCAAATATCAGACAAAATGCCATCATTTTCTACTAGCCATCCCATAATGATTGACCTGGTGTACGACACCTTAAACATGACAGCTGTTTCCAAAACACATTGCTATTTATTCTGGTGTATGATGCCATTTTGTCTGATGTCTTAGAACTTCTGACAATGTCCTGATGCACACACCATACAGGGGATTAGTAAACAACATCATGAAGTCTGTAGTACTGACAATGATAAGAGGCTTCTTTGCTTTCCTTAGCCTATTTTGGTTAGCTAAACACAAATCTAACTGGTACTGCAGTAAAAAAAAAAAATTGAAAGCATAACTCCAAATCCATTACTTTCTGATAATCAGATTCTAAATGCTATTTTCGCTTTTCTCCTTTTTTCATAAAAGCAAAATCTTTCACTTGGCAAATTGTAGGTCTTCCTTAAAAGCAAATTGGCATAAACATAAAGAGTTGGTCAAGTGTAATTTTATGTGCTACACTTTTACATGACTGGCAGCACAGTAGGTGTGTTTACAGCAGCATCACCGCAAACACATGAGTAATGCATTACGCTACAACATCACTAGGCCATAGGAATTTTTCAGCTCTATTATAATTTTATGGAACCACCCAGTAATGTCTGGCTACAGGTGTCACTCTCAGGCCTCTTCCCATTCACACATGCACAGAACAATTCTCCACTCTCAAGCCTTGCCACCCTTAGGACCCTGTTTGTGCAAAATAAAATAAAATAAAAAATTAAAATGACCATCATGTAACAACATTGCTTCTGTACTATTTCAATCCTTATATAAATGTATTTAATGTATCCAGAATTAATCATGTAATAGATAATGCATTTCAAAAATATTTCCATTTCCAAACATTATACCACTGGGAATGTTATACTGTATAACTAAATTAATGTCCAAAATGCTTCAGAATTTAAAAGTAATTAATAAATTCTGAGGCAGGACTTAGTCAAGTAATCATAACTGCTGATATTAGTAAAAGTCCATTTTCCGTTTTTGTTGTGTGAATTTTTGCACATAAACAGTACAATTTAACAGTAAAAACAAAATTAAAATGAATATATTAAACATTTAGATATAACCTCACCCACTAAATAGGTTAATGCTAACAACACCTGAACTCTCCAGTCAATAACCAGACCCATGAATGTCAAATTCACAGATGTGATGGGGGTACAGTATATAACCATGTATCCAGTAGAGGGTAATGGCTGAATTGTAGAGACTCTTCATGCAAGCATAGGGCAAACAGCAAGAGACCCAGGGGACACACACACACACACACACACACACAATAAGCAGTAGAGAGACATCCATGTACCAAACTGAATGCATTTAGACTGCAGGAGGAAACCCATGCAAACTTATCACACAAAAATCCACAGGCAGGATTTGACCCCAACCCTAAAGGTGTAAATCCCATGTTCCACTCGAAAATTACGCTTTGAATCTGGCAGCGGCATGCCTTCACTCCCTAAATGAAGTCATGTTTCTCCAGGTTGTGTTTCTATTACTCTGAAATTTGAAAAACAAAGCAGAACTTGTTCAGATGGTGAGAGTCTGATGCCAGGTGAGCTATGAGCGTAAATTTAGCCAAGGCTGCCCAACTTCCATCAAAGAGGTGCAGGATGTGCTGAATTTAACTGTAGCTCTTCACTGCATCACTGAAGTGCTTCTTTCCCTGGAAAATCACCTCACCCCATGATTCAGTGAATTGACGATACAATAGGACAATGAAAATAAGTATCGGGCCTCTACAGCAGCATGTTTTTGGGGGTGGGGGGATTTGTAGAGGATGGCATTGTGAGAATGATGTACCACACAAATATGCTTCACTGTCCACCCATTTAAGTAGCCTGTATGTTCTGCTGCATACCTGCAAGACACTTTTTAAATGGCCATACTGAAGCTGGATGTTTACACTGGGTTCCCCTGTCCCGGGACTGTTAGGCCATTTTAACTGTACATGTGTTTTTTTGCAATGATTATATTCCATATTAATCAAATTTAGTTATACTGAGTCTATGAGAAGTTTTCCAGATAGCAGGAAAACTAGGTTATGCACCAGCCTCAGCATGTGGGTAAAACAGCAGGCCAGTCAAGATGTGAGAATAAAGCCGGTTCAGTCTCCTCTTCACTGTCTCCTCTGCAGTGAACTGAGAAGCCGAAGAGTGATGCAAAGCCAGCAGCACCACAGAACAGTCCTGTGTAAGGGTGATCATCTATGAAACTAGAGAAAGAAGTAGAGAAGAGTAACGACAGAGTGTCTCCCTTCCACAGGACTTTCAGCAGCATGCTGTCAATCACATGGCCAATAAAGAAAACATCATACACCATTATGATTGCGAGACATGGGGCTATGCAAGAAATAGGATCAAGACTAGTGGCCTTCATTGTCATACCATCTATTTGCAGGTATGCAGTAGAACATACAGGCTGCGAGTTACGATAGGAGGGATTTACAATTTAAAAGGTACAAAAGCACAGGACAGCACCAGACAGGGGAGGGCGGTATAGTATATCTTGAGGTATGTGTTATAATCTATTTGAAAACTGGAACATGCTAATGTCTTATACACTTCATAATATATTGAAAGTTATACTATAGATCTTCAACCACAGTAATGTTTAACAGATCTGCAAACACAGTTTAGTGCAGGGTCTGCAAAAACTTTTGTTTGTTTGTTTACATGCTATTTTAACCAAACAGAGCTTATACTTGCAGGTGAAGGAATGTCAAAAACATTATAGCCATGGAGAACAAGATTAGTTTGCCCAGAAGTCCAGTACGAGCAGCAGACGTCACTGCTGCTACTCTGAAAACCAAATAAATGATAACCTTCCAAAAACGTTATAACATTTTTTTATTTCCTTCAAACAAGATTCCAAGTGTGTCACCTTAACTAAAGATTTTATTTTCGCTAGCTCTTAACAGGTTTAGTAACATCTTAAGTTTCAGAATTTACCACAGATATGCCCACTTCCTAAACAAACAAATAAATTGTCACGACCTGCTCGTTCGTTCCTCCTCCTCCTCTGTGCCACGCCCACCTCTTACCCGTTCTTTCCTGCTTGTCTTGTGTATTTAGTCCACGTCGGAGTTAGTTTCCCCAGGTCTGTCATTAACGTTATATGTTTCCCCTGAATAAACCTTTATCTTGTATTCACGGCTCTCTTCGCCTGCTTCGCTGCAAACCGAACGTAACACAAATAAATAAATAAAAAATTCAGCTGCTCGACTTAAGGTCCTATAGAATTCAATGGTAACAGCATCCAGGATCTTTACATTTCCTTAACATAAACTGGTAAATGGTTAAGGAAAGAATGTCTTTCATTTAATTAGATCTATTACACAGTCTTAATGGTGTTGTAAAGTATATGTGTTATATATTATGTATTTTATATTTTCTAAACGTGTGCTTATTACAATATAATAATATTCGCCATCCGCACTGATTAGTAAAATAAAGGATGATCTCATTTATACAATAAGCACAATTGTAGACATGAGCCGGGGGAAAAAACGAGAGAATACAATTCCTATCTCATCCACAAGATGACATCAGAGCTTTGCACAGTGGGCGAACACTAACGTAAATCACAAGTTTTGCTTGTTTAGTATCAGGGTTACATTTTTTTTTTTTACTAAAAAGAACTTCGTGATAAACACATTTGTGCAAAGGATATTTGAAATTAAGTACCATCTTGTGACACTGAAAAAACGTAGCATGCGAGAACATCCATCTGTGAATGCATTGACTCATTTCCAGTTTTCTGTTTACCTTGGTCCGGTTTGGGTAAATCTGGTAGGGAATACCATTAGCCCACATTCCCCAAACCCCATCGTGGCATTCAGAATCCTTAGTAATTATCATATCCTTAATTAGGAACGCCAACAGGTGATAATTATTAGTACCAATGTATATTTCACCTTAAAATGTGAAAACACTGATGTTTGATACTGCATATTCAATATCACACCCTCTAAAACTAGGATGGATTGCAGTGTTTGTAGAAAAGCGAATAAACACGATATTGTTAGGGTTTGTGTGTGTGTGTGTGTTTTTAAGCAGAAAAAGACCTTTGCTCCTTAATGGAGCAGTGAAACCAGAAGCCGTAATTTAAGCTGCAGGAATGCCTGAAAAAGTTAACTGATTAAGACAATGTGCATTATATCTGAAGGTTCATTCTCCAGCGTGGCATCGTAGGGAATAGACAAGATCTACTGTATCCGGGGGGAAGCTGAAACAGCTTATTTACCCCAGTTCACCCGAAAACTTCCAGCTAAAGAATATATTATTCCGTAAGAAAAGTCATCCAAATGACTTTTTTCCTGGACTGGGGGAAAGCTTTATGCGTAACCGAGATAAAAAGACTCGGCTCTCCAATTTGTGCAGAAATCCTGGATTATTGTGCGTTTCTGTGACAGTCGGGAGTCCCCCTTCACGGCTCACTGTTTGAGGTTTTGTATTTCGGATTTACCGCTGTTCAACAAACGCTGAAAAATACCGATGTCGCCCTTCAAGGGGGGGAAATAAAGTCGGGAAGTTTTTAATCACGCAAATGGATTAACTACTGCTAATTTGAAATACATGGAGAGGAGACTGAAAGAGATGGGACAGCAGGTATGTAAAGTAAATATACTGCGTTCTGCATCTGCGTATAGCAGTAACTTACAAGTCCGGCGCTAATTTAGTCTTATATGAAACATTTTTAAAAATGTAATCTTGTAACATTATATACGCCCCTCTAGACCGTAGTCATAGGTTAACTGGTAAAAAATAAAATAAGAAACTGCCAGTGTGTCTCGTCAACATAAGGCTGCGTCTTCATCAATATCGTGTTGCATTTTATAGAAATGTAATGTTCAGACAGAATGAGCGGTTCAACCCGATTTTCTTTCCTTCTTTGTTGTTGTTCTTCTTCTTCTAATAATAATAATATAATAATAATTATTATATTATTATTATTATTATTATTATTGGTGATAGTAGTAGTAAATAAATAAAGTATAACTTCTATATATGGCAACCTTAATTTAAAATCATCTGCAAATATTTGCAAAGTTGTAATTTGTGTGATATTTAAGGTCAATCAGAATGTAATAGTATCAGTGGTATCAGAAATAAGAGATGAAAGATTTGTACCTGGGCTTAGGGACTGTTTGAAATGATGGACAAATGATCAACTTTAAACTTTCTTTAACTTGTTTATTAATCTAATAATCCGAATTATTATATACATCTCTGTAATATTGCATTAGATGCATTTTTGCATCTAACTGGAGAGTGGATCAGTGCAGACATTTACAGACAACCAGAAAATGATAAAGGTCTGTTTAGTTAGTGCTCCACAGCCTGTCATTGGACACAGCCCATTATAGCTGTTTGATGTCATTATGTCTTTTACAGGGATAAGTATAGTACTTACCTATTCACCATAACAACACTATTAATTTTCGGTACCAAGCAGACAAGCTCAATCCCCACAAATGAAGCAGTGTTGTGGTCAGCTTGCCTCACATATTAGATACTGTTCTCCAACACCTAAGGACAGCTAACTCCTTAACAGTTTGCATTATACGTTGCTCCATCTATTGTTATTCTGGCAATCTATTTTTTAATCTGGAAATTCATCTATCCATTTTCCATAGCCACTTTTCCCATACAGGGTTATGATGAGCCCGGAGCCATCCCAGGAAGAATAGGGCATGAGAGAGGGATGCCAGCTATTGCAGGGCAGTCCCACCCACACACATACAGCAGAGACTCCACTTCACTTTATTGCATGTTTCTGGGCTGTGGGAGGAAAGCACATTACCCAGAGGAAACTCCCATCCCTTCGAATGGAATCTAAATTTTATTAATTGATACTATATTTAGTGTTTGATTGCCAGACTCACCTATTATGTACCACACCCATTGGCTACTTTATTAGGTACACCTTGCTAGCATTATTGCAATTGCTGCAGATTTGTCAGCTACACCTTCATGCTGTGAATCTCCCGTTCCACCACATCCCATATAGGTGCTCTATTGGATTGAGATCTGGTGACTGGAGGCCATGTGAGTACAGTGAACTCATTGTCATGTTCAACAAACCAGTCTGAGATGATATGAGCCTTGTGACACGGTGCATTATCCTGCTGGAAGTAGCCATTAGAAGCTGGGTACACTGTGGTCATAAACAGTTGGACACGCTCAGCAACAATACTCAGGTAGGCTGTGGCATTTTAACAACGCTGGGACTAAGAGGCCCAAAGTGTGCCAAGAAAATATCCCCCATACTACTGCACCAGCATCACCAGTCTGAATTGTTGATACAAGGCAGGATGAATCCCAAGGGCATAACCTTCAGTTGAACATGTGACTATTCTGGCCAGCCCTCCCCCCCATAATTTACACCCATGATGGATTTGTGCTTTCATGTTGTTTACACCAAATTCTGATACTACTATCTGAATGTCGCAGCAGAAATCCAGACTCATCTGACCAACATTCTTTCCAGTCTTGCATCGTCCCAATTTTTGCCTCTCTCCTCATTGGTACTGTATAGTAGTGAGTATCCCAGCCTGTCACGTGGGAGACCAGAGTTCGATTCCCCTAAATGAGTGTGTAGCTAACTTTACTCCCACACAAAAGAAAGCAATCAAATTTAAGCTGGAAAGTAGTTGTACGGTAGGTTGAGATGAATGAAGCCAGAGGAAGCAGTTCCTTTTTTAAAAAAAGGACAAAATAGCAAGAATGCATGTGGTCTCAAGGAAACAATGGTTTTTCCTTACATATGGAATGCTACAGAAAAGAGTCATCTTTTCTATACGACCTACTGAGATTTGAACAGAATTACTGGATTCAGAGTTCAGAGTGCTAACTGTTACACTACAGGGCCTGAACCGGCTTGCTGCTTCTCCTTCAGGATGAAATCCTTCATAAATGAAAGCACTAGAATATCCACCTTATAGTCAGTGGGTTAATCGAGCCAAGGAGCCTTCACCATCCCATGCCGTAGGAGGTCAGTTAAAATCTCATTTATTCTGGTATATTGGGGGAAAGAAAGCAGGGTGGGTGTCCGTATGAAACAGAGAATAGGTGTGAGTCATTCCCAAATCCCCATTTGAATCACTGATCTAAATGAGCAAGCAATAATCGAATGGAACTGTGAAACCAAAAGGTAAGATCTCACCATTAATTCAATAGGTTCATGTTGAGATGCTTCCACGGAGTAAAGTTTAATGAAATTGTTTTGTCGTCATTCTGCTATCACTGCCTGTCATGTGGCAGTCTGGGTTTTGATTCCCTGACAGGAAAGCCTGACGTCCATATGTTTGTAGGCCCTTAACCCCCAGCTTCCTGGGCACCACTACAGGTGGCTGCGCTTTACTGCCAATCTTGTTCTTAGTTGAACAAGTGTACCTAATAAAGTGACCAGTATGGTTTACAATTAATTATGTTGAAAGAGATGTGAAATATTCAGTGCCTTACCAACAGTTTTGACCATCCTGTTGTGAAACGAGCAGCTAATACACACCTGTTAATTTTAAAGTTTAACAATTTAGTCAAATGTGTGAAACCTTGGGAGCGCCAAACCAATGAAGTCTAGGTAGGATTGAATTAACATGAAGACAAATGGATCAGTAAATCCTTTTCGGGGGATATGGGCATTTGGGTTGTTGGAAGAGAATTATTTTGGAGGTTCTCAACTGTTGAGTTTTAGCACCCAAATGTTTACTGGCTTGGTAGTTTAAATAAATAAGACGAGTGCTTAATTTCAGTAAGTTTTTATGCTCAGGAAAAGGTCTAATGAGCCAGTAGTGTGTAGATTTATTTAAGAGTGTTCAGTTGGGGAGCTTGTCGCATGAAAGGAACCCCAGTCTGATAAAAACCCTTTAAAGGACAATACCAGTAACTGTTAAATTAATAATGTACTAATGTACATTATTAATGGTATTAATGGGCAGTGGTGGCTTGATGGTTAGGGTAGCGCACTTGTAATTGAAAGATTGCAGGTTTGAATCCCCCACCAGCAAGTCACCACTGAGGTACCCTGAGCAAGGTACCGCCCCCAAGCACTGCTCCCCGGGCGCTGAATTAGCTGCCCCCTGCTATGTCACGAAAGTCACATATGGGTCAAATGCAGAGGACACATTTCATTATTGCGCACTGTGTGCTGTGGTGTGTTGACAATGACCACTGATCACTAAATTCTAATTTATCCTCGGTTTCTTACATTAGTAAATGAGATGATTAATTTGAAGCGGGAAATGAAGTATTGTCATGATACCAACAGCAAGTCTTTGATTATGTATACAGGCTAACCATGTGACCATCAAAGCTGACAAGTTGCATTATAGCTGTTTTCCTCAAGGTGTCCCTGTAGGCACCTTCTGTCCAGTATTAATTCAACAATAATTTAATAATCAACACAGATACATAGTTAAACTGTTGGTAATAGTATGGGGTTCTGGAGATTCCCTTCAGGTACCCCTGTTCCTTTCAAAAACATTACATTAGGTGAATTGATGTCTGTACTGTGTAATTGAGTATGAGTATATGTGACCTGTGATGGATTGCCACTCTGTCTCATATGTCCTCTGCCCTGTGCTTCTTGGGAAGGGCTTCCAAATGACTGTGAAAATGGGTGGATGGGTGATATACACTCAGTGACAAAAAAAGTTAAGGGATGGTCCGATTTGGATGTAACAGACCAGTGATGGGTATGTAACTGTTTCGATTTGGAAGGAGCTGGAACGTCTAGTCACCAGACACAGAGGATGCCATGTAGACGCATTAGACAGCATTACCAGCAGAGTTCGATAGGGGTCGCATTGTGGGTTTGCATGAGGTCAGTGGTTGTATCATGCATGTAAATGTCACAGTCGCCTGATGTTGGAACCAAAGGGCATGTGAGGGCACCCAGACACATCGTGAAGGTTCTGGTCGCCGAAAACAGACCACACCAAGGGAGGATCGTTGTATTGTATGCCAAACATTACAGAACCCCATGACTTCTGCGCTTGCCATTTGGACACAGGTATTAATTACAATTAATTATGTTGAAAGAGATGTTAAATATTCAGTGCCTTATATTCAGGTACTACAACAACTAGTTATCCTGCACTATGTCTCGATGACTGGCATCAGTCAGACTATGGGTTCACTGTCCCAAGCATAGGCTGCAGTTAACACCAGTGCAGAGACGGCTATGGTTGGAGTGGTGCCATAACCGGGAGGCATGGACTGGTGATGAGTGATGTCGTACCATGTTCAACGATGAATCTTGGTTCTGCATTACCATAGATGACCTTTGTGTGCACATATGGCAGCGCCGAGGGGAGAGGTCCAATCCTGCCAATGTTGTGGAGAGACACACCAGCATCATGGTGTGGGGAGCCATAGGGTATGATTTCAGGTCATCTCTGGTAGTGATTCGAGGGACCCAGCACTATGTCAGTGACATCCTGCGTTCACATGTTACCCCTACTGAGACAGCACCCTGGTACAGTCTTTCAACAAGACTACACCGATCCACACATGGCACGTGCGTCTATGGACTGCCTGCATCATGTTGAGGTCCTCCTGTAGCCAGTCAGGTCCCCCGATCTTCCCCTAATCAAACACGCGTGGAA